GCTCAGATCCTGGTAGCAGACATCTGGGCGTGTTGTGAGGGCAAAGGTCACGGCGAATTCCACGACATAGACATCCTCACCATGTTTGCCGATTGCCTGTAAGGTAACATGAACCTGTAATCAAACAAAAGATTACCTGTAATCTAACTAAAGGCCAAATACAGGGCCTAACATATTGTATTATTGTATAGGTCCTATAATTATATAGGCCCTACAATATATAGGCCCTATAACATATTATATATAGCCCCTATATTTCAAGTTGCTGTATATCGGAGTGTTCAGAATTTGTGAGATGGATCTATCGATGTTGGAACATTTCCCACCTGGGGTTCATCTGTAATTAATTAATCGCTTATACGGATGCTCGCTTGTTATTTGTAGAATACCGCAGGCGCTGCTTTACTTCGGCGTTCTAGAGTATTCGAAGGAACTCATGGATCTGCTGCTGAAAGGTGCAGAAATGTTTTTAATGGTTTTAATGATTTCAGGAGCTAATAATGACAAATTTGTCATTATTAGCTCCTGATGATTTCAATGTTCTTACGTGTGATCATGGACAGCAGACGTTAACCTTGCAAATTAATATCAGAGGTTGGCGTGAACCGTCGAACCTTCAACGATCGAACCTTCACATGCTCTTAAAGATTAGCCAAGATTGCTGAATGTAAAGCTACACTGCGTCACATCTGCATACATAATGCAGAATTATCGGACAATTATTGAATAATACATCATCTGGATGCAGGATGACGTACTCTGATATATTGTGATGTATTTTTTCCATATTCCAGAGTGGTGATAGGAAGGAGGTCGAGATCAGGGGCGCTAGCATCTGGGCGGTGGAGGTACACGAATGTCTGTCGCCAAACATTGTTGCAATCTGTCAAGTTATCATCTAGTCACTATAAGCCTTCTGATGGAATATATAATTTCCCTTGATTCAGTTGATGGTGACCGAAAGTTCGTTCGGTTTAGAAAGACGACCGGATCAAGATTGAGTGACCAGCAGTGTCGTGCAACTGTGAATTTCTCTCTGATTTCACGCGTAAAACTTCTAACGTGATGATATCTTAATAA